TTTTTTTTTTTTTTTTTTTTTTTTTTTTTGTAATCTATCACCGAATCCATGATCCCTTCCTGGCAAGTTTGGTCTGTACCAGAGAACAGGACCACAGTGTAACTCTGAGCGCTGACGGGAACTCATGGCAAACACTGGTTTAGTCGACACGTTTGCCTCCGAGAACAGTCTTCCTCCAGGCTCTCTGCGATGCACGTTGGAATCTCTGACATGAGAACCTTGCAGGGGCAGGGCGATACCTGGTCTACCAGGAAACATGCATTTTGCTTAGCTTCCTGGCTTGTTAGCCCAGCCGGGTATTGAATGGAACATTTCCAGCCAAAGCATGACCAGGTGTTAGTGGAGCTTTGCTCCCATGCTCCCTAGAGGGGACACTGGATATGTGGTGTTTGTGTATTCATCTAGCAGCTGGGAAATAAGAGGTGGCTATTTTCTTTGGCAGAACACCTGTGGCAGGTGGTGACTTTTAATTATTTCCTTTGCCATCCCAAGGATAATCGTCAGAAGAGCTTTGCAGGAGATGGGAGGGGTTTGGCTCCTTTTACTCCCGGTCAGAATGCTCTCACCCTTGTTGATGGTAAGCACAAGCACTTGCATCTCTTCAGCCTATAGCACCACAGTCCTGGAATGGCTTTCTGGGTTCAAATTTCTTTTCACCTCCTCATTTTAGGGCCCTGGTCTTCTTTCCATCCCTTGGCACTAGGCCTTGCTTAGGCACCAGGGAGAAAGGGGCAGTGGGGCAGGAAACTTGTTCTATTCCTAGTCTGAGGCTGACGTTAAGACGTCTCTCCAGTGTGGTGGTGGGGTCCCCTCTGTGCATCTGCCTCTCCCCTCTGTGTCCACATAATGGGGAATGAGAGCTATCGGTAAAGGCTATCTTCATTTACTTCCTTCCTCTTCTGAGAGGAGACGTTTGCTGAGTCTGGCCCAAGAGTCCAAAGCAAAACAGCTGCTGCATCTGTCCTTTACTGGTCCTCTTGTAGGTAGTTCCAGCATGGAGGCCATGGTAGGCCTGGTGGGCCATGAAAAGTTATTTCTATGCTAGTGGCTGGACCTTTTTGACTAGGGGGTGGTAGTGATAGGAGACCTACTGGCTGATGCAGGGCAAGCCTCCTCCACATGGTACTTGCTGATGGCTGGGTGCGGGGGAGTGGGGAGCGTGCAAAGAATTGTTCTTGAGGACCATTGGTTTGGCATATTCTATCAAGGCTAAACTAGTGGCGGGAACCATTGAAAGAGCAGTTGACTGGATGTGATCCTTCCCTTCCCACAGGCACAGACATCTACTCCACCCACAAGAAGCATATGCACAATGGGAAAATACCCCGTTTTCGCCGGGCCCGAGGGTCTGGGGAGCTTTACACCAGTGATACAGCAATGCAGAGTGAGTATGACAGAGGACTCTTAGAGACTTTCTAACTTGCACCAGTGGGGAGATAAATTGGGAATGTAAGGCTGTTGCCCACATCTCCCTGCCTTTCCTTCACCTATCCCACCCATAGGGGTTAATTCTAGCTCCCCCCCACATCCTCTGTAGGTCAGTCTAGGGTCCTACAGTAGCCACAGTTGCATCGCAAGGGATCAGGGGAGAATTACTCTGGTAAAGCACTGCATGCTTGGGAGAGGACCGTGGAGGCAAAGTAGCTTCCACACAATAATGGTAGGTCGCTTGGGGCATTGGAGCAACCCTAAGGAGGCTGTATGCTAGCGCAGAGGAAGTCGAAACATTTGCCAACTTGCTGTCTTCAATGCCTGTTGATAACCTCTGGTCTTCACGCTGGAACGACCCAACTCGGATCAGGGCTGGGTGGGCACAAGGACCCGTCTGCCCCTGCTGCTGTTGCTTCTGTCTGCCCCTGCCTGGGGGGAAACTGCTGATGCTGCAGGCTGCTGATGTCCCATGTCCGCAGGCTACATTCAATGGCTCCACAGGCCAGATCTAGCTCAAAGGGCGTAGGTTGCTGACTCCTGGCCTCTGGCCTACAACGCTGATCAGCATAGTGCCCTGGGCAATGCTTGCGAGAACAGTAATTTTCACATTCTATTTGGCTCAGACTTGGTTAGCAAGGAGGAAAACAAACTCGCTTGAGCTTCTCTAGCAGTGAGTGTATTGGGCAAGTCATCCCTCTGCCGCTTGGACTCATTGCTAACATAGCAAAACCTTCGACTCAAGCCTTGGGGCCAGGGTAGAACTCTTCCTCCTTGAGGCTGGTGAGTGTGGGAACAGAAGTAGCTATTTAGAAAACAAAAACTGCTGAAGACACTGGACACCATGTCGCCTGTATGACTGTGGAGGGAAATGCTGTTGCTTAAGAGACCTATGGGGCTGCGGTTTCATTTCCGTTGGTGGCGACAGCAAGAGCCGAACTTCCATTCGGGGCCAGGTGGTTGAGATGGTGTTTGTAGAACCCAGAGGCTCTTCCTCCTCCACCACGAGCCTTGTCATTCATCGAAATCTGGAAGACATCCTCCTCCCCAGCTGCTGTTTTTCTTTTAAAGGGGAGAGTCGTGTTTTTTCCCACCTGACTTTTTTTTTTTTCTCCCTGTGGATCAGGAGTGAGGAGGAGGCTGGCAGTGGGGGAGGCAGGTAGGGTTGTTAACAGAGAGGATTGGAGTGGAGGGGAATGATGAGGAGGCCTCCACGTTACACTTCCATGTGCCCCTGGCTCTGGGCCTCTCCCTTGAGCATTGCAAATGGTGCTTGGTTGGGAGATACTAGAAGATGGGGGAAACCTGCAGCTTTGGGGCAATGGGATTTCTGCACAGCTAAAGTACAAGGAGGAAGAAAAGGGCAGCAAGTGCAAAATGTCTCGAGGGAGGAGGAAACGAGGGCAGAAGCCAATAAAGGAGACGCCTCCAGAGCACCGGGGTGCCTAATGCAATCGGGCCGTGCTCCCCACCACAGGGACGTGAGCTAATGAGGCTCAGGTGTCACAAAATTCCACTCCCAGCACAGGGTGTACCTTTGGCTGACTTCATGGAGCAAGAGATGGATATTAATAGGCCTGTCTCACCACCACGAGTATTGTGGGCCTTCCCAATTCCACACAAACAACTTGCGCAAAACACCTCTCTCCTGCTGGGACTTCTTTCTACGCTGTGGTTTTGGGTTTTCTTTTTTTGTCCCCAATGCGTTAACAGAACAAATTGCCTCTGGAGCTAACCAGCCTCAGAACTTGGCTGAATGTCGTAAGAAGCAGCAACCTGCTGGATCCAGAGGCAGCTCTTTATTCCCCATTCTCTCCATGATGGGTCTTAGCAGTGCAGGCAAAGAACTTGGCTGGCCGGTTTCATGTGGGAGCCATTGCTTCTGTTCCTTTGTGGTGCTCCTCTGAGTGGCCTTGCATCAGGAGTTTAGTCTCCAGACACATCTGCCCGGCTCTTACGTTTTCATGGCTCTTGTCTTGCAGACCCGCAGTTCGTCAAGGCCACTGTCATCAAGCGAGATGCACCCTACGATGGCAAAATCTACTATTTCTTTCGGGAGGACAACCCCAACAAGAGCCCTGAGGCACCATTGCTGGTCTCCAGAGTGGCACAGCTGTGTAAGGTATGGAGCAGGCAGGACATGGGGGGTGAATTAAGAGATGCCAACTGGTTAAGCTGACTGTGTTGCCCACACAAATGTGTCTGTGCCCGGGAGATGAGGAAAGCAATGAGGGTGCACCTGCCATTACAAGTGAGGCTTGGAGATGGAGGGAGAATGGGGTTTAGAGGAAGGTGGGTGGGAGCTGGAGCTTCTCAGGCCCTTGGTAGGAGGCTCCTTCAAGCTGATTCCAAATGTTGGGGAGATGATGAGGGACAGCACCCAAGAAGTTCCTTTCTATCACACACACTGCACTGCCTTTGACCCTTCCCACCGTAAGTAGAGGGAGCCTTGTAGTTATTTTTCACTTGCAGCTCTGCCCTGACTTCTGATGATCCCACTAGGCATAAGGCAAAGGTAGCTCTCTTGTGAGCGGAAGGACAATCCTGTCATCAGAGAGCTAGCTTGGGACTTACAAGAGTTTGGTTGCCTGCTCTGTCACAGATTTCCTCTGTGGCCTTGGGCAAGTCATTTGGTGTCTCCAGGCACCAGTTACCCATCTGTATAAGGAAGACAGCAACACTGCCCAGTCTCCCAGGGGTGTTAGGAGAAGAAGCGCCCTGAGGGTTGTGAAGCTAATTGGGACTAGGGTGGATTGAGCCTAAGAGCATGAGGGGCAGTGCTGCCATCCCACACGCCCCTTGTGGATGGACTCTGATTCTCTGTTTGCCCACAGGGAGATAGAGGGGGCAGTGGTTCCCTCTCTTCTTCCAAGTGGACAACTTTCCTGAAGTCCACGCTGGCCTGTGTTGACCCAGCTACCAAGGGGAACTTCAACAGCCTGCAGGACATCTTCATTGTCCCTTCAGAAGAAACCTGGAAGAAAACAAGAGTCTATGGGCTCTTCACAAACTCCTGGTAAGTCTCTGTAGGTGTGGGTTGCCTCGGCAGAACCTGGAGGTGGGATTTTTCACAGGCATTTCAGGTTCTGGCCCCTAGCAAGCATGTTTCATCAAACCAGTGCTGAAAGAAATGCAGGAGGCATCAGCTTTCTGCTTCCCTCCCATAGCTTCATTCCTCCCACCTTCTCTAAAGGGGCCTAATTGTGAGAGGGGCAGAATGCATTCATCTCCCTGGGAGAGTTTAGCATCTGGCAGGATTTGGGGTTTTGCATGTGCTGGTTGCTCTTTCCCACCTTGTCTCAAGCATATCCTGTCTCTTGCCTTCTTCAAGGCAGCTGTACACTTCTGGGGGGATTCACAGATGCAGGGGCAGCATCTCAGTACTGCAGCAAACCTTTACATATAGCAACAATGCTGTGGTTCCTGGCTCCTCCACCTCCACAGCTGCCCTTTAAAGAAGAGAATACATTAAAAGGAGTCCAGTAATGGAGGCTATATAAGTATTTAAGCTAGATCTTCTAGAGGGGAAGAGAGATGCTGAAGTATCTGTGTGCTAAGCACAGTCCTGAAGTCTTCAGTCCTGCTATCAGTGGGAGTTTTGCCTGTGTCATGATTTCAAGCCTGGGATTTCTTGCAGTGTAGACTTACTTCACTAATATAGAGGTTGGGTCCTCTGTTTTGTCCTTCCCTGCTCTATAGTTGATGCCCATCTGGGATATATGTGAAACCATGCATGTCAGCATGCCATAGGCTCTCCCATTCTAGCTGAAACCTTGAGCCATAGGTGGTTACTGCCCCCTGACCTGCTGTTTTATCATATTTCCCATAGGGGGGACTCTGCTGTCTGCATCTACTCCATCGGTGACATTGACCGTGTGTTCCAGACATCAAAACTCAAAGGCTACAATGAGCCCCTCCCAAGTTTCCGGCCTGGACAGGTAAACAGCAGCTGCCTATCCAGGTGGATGGTCATATCCCAAAAGCTGCTGGGAGCAAGAGAACCAGGGTGTATTCCTGTCTACCACAGACTGAGCGACCCTGGTCAAATCACCTTATCTCCATTTTGCCCTATATAACATGGGGATACTGAATACATCAGTATGTATTCTCCTTGGCCAGGAGAAGTGGTGCTTTGAATATCCTTTATGCTTGCAGTGGGTTTGGAGATCCTCATATAGGGCAGGCTAGACAAGGGAGATGTGTTATCCTAGGGGTCTGGCTCCATTGAAAGTGACACACAACCAGGGCCACCT